AGATTGTACTGTTCTCTACTTGGGGAATTGACTGAATGCTGCATCACAACACCTCTCGAACACACAGATTGTACTGTTCTCTACTTGGGGATTTGACTGAATGCTGCATCACAACACCTCTCGAACACACAGATTGTACTGTACTTTACTTGGGGAATTGACTGAATGCTGCATCACAACACCTCTCGAACACACAGATTGTACTGTACTCTACTTGGGGAATTGACTGAATGCTGCATCAAAACACATCTCGAACACACAGATTGTACTGTTCTCTACTTGGGGAATTGACTGAATGCTGCATTAGATCACCCCTCGAACACACAGATTGTACAGTTCTCTACTTGGGGAATTGACGGAATGCTGCATCACAACACCCCTCGAACACACAGATTGTACCGTACTCTACTTGGGGAATTGACTGAATGCTGCATCACAACACCTCTCGAACACACAGATTGTACTGTTCTCTACTTGGGGAATTGACTGAATGATGGATCACAACACCCCTCGAACACACAGATTGTACTGTTCTCTATTTCGGGAATTGACTGAATGCTGCATCACAACACCCCTCGAACATACAGATTGTACTGTTCTCTACTTGGGGAATTGACTGAATGCTGCATCCCAACTCCCCTCGAACACACAGATTGTACTGTTCTCTACTTGGGGAATTGACTGAATGCTGCATCCCAACACCCCTCGAACACACAGATTGTACTGTTCTCTACTTGGGGAATTGACTGAATGCTGCATCACAACACCTCTCGAACACACAGATTGTACTGTTCTCTATTTGGGGAATTGACTGAATGCTGCATCACAACACCTCTCGAACACACAGATTGTACTGTACTTTACTTGGGGAATTGACTGAATGCTGCATCACAACACCTCTCGAACACACAGATTGTACTGTACTCTACTTGGGGAATTGACTGAATGCTGCATCAAAACACATCTCGAACACACAGATTGTACTGTTCTCTGCTTCGGGAATTGACTTGAATGCTGCATCACAACACCCCTCGAACACACAGATTGTACCGTTCTCTACTTGGGGAATTGACTGAATACTGCATCACAACATCCCTCGAACACACATATTGTACTGTTCTCTACTTGGGCAATTGACTGAATGCTGCTTTAGAACACCTCTCGAACACACAGATTGTACTGTTCTCTACTTTGGGAATTGACTGAATGCTGCATCACAACACCCCTCGAACACACAGATTGTACCGTACTCTACTTGGGGAATTGACTGAATGCTGCATCACAACACCCCTCGAAAACACAGATTGTACCGTACTCTACTTGGGGAATTGATTGAATGCTGCATCACAACTCCCCTCGAACACACAGATTGTACCGTACTCTACTTGGGGAATTGACTGAATGCTGCATCACAACACCTCTCGAACACACAGATTGTACTGTTCTCTACTTGGGGAATTGACTGAATGCTGCATCACAACATCCCTCGAAAACACAGATTGTACTGTTCTCTACTTGGGGAATTGATTGAATGCTGCATCACAACACCCCTCGAAAACACAGATTGTACCGTACTCTACTTGGGGAATTGACTGAATGCTGCATCAAAACACCTCTCGAACACACAGATTGTACTGTTCTCTACTTGGGGAATTGACTGAATGCTGCATCACAACACCTCTCGAACACACAGATTGTACTGTACTTTACTTGGGGAATTGACTGAATGCTGCATCACAACACCCCTCGAACACACAGATTGTACTGTACTCTACTTGGGGAATTAACTGAATGCTGCATCAAAACACATCTCGAACACACAGATTGTACTGTTCTCTACTTGGGGAATTGACTGAATGCTGCATCACAACACCCCTCGAACACACAGATTGTACTGTTCTCTACTTGGGGAATTGACTGAATGCTGCATCACAACATCTCTCGAAAACACAGATTGTACTGTTCTCTACTTGGGGAATTGACTGAATCCTGCATTACAACACCCCTCGAACACACATATTGTACTGTACTCTACTTTGGGAATTGACTGAATGCTGCATCACAACACCTCTCGAACACACAGATTGTACTGTTCTCTACTTGGGGAATTGACTGAATGCTGCATCACAACACATCTCGAACACACAGATTGTACTGTTCTCTACTTGGGGAATTGACTGAATGCTGCATCACAACACATCTCGAACACACAGATTGTACTGTTCTCTACTTGGGGAATTGACTGAATGCTGCATCACAACACCCCTCGAACACACAGATTGTACTGTTCTCTACTTGGGGAATTGACTGAATGCTGCATCCCAACACCCCTCGAACACACAGATTGTACTGTTCTCTACTTGGGCAATTGACTGAATGCTGCATCACAACACCTCTCGAACATACAGATTGTACCGTACTCTACTTGGGGATTTGACTGAATGCTGCATCACAGCCCCCCTCGAACACACAGATTGTACTGTTTTCTACTTGGGGAATTGACTGAATGCTGCATCACAACACCCCTCGAACATACAGATTGTACTGTTCTCTACATGGGGAATTGACTGAATGCTGCATCACAACACCCCTCGAACACACAGATTGTACTGTTCTCTACTTAGGGAAATGACTGAATGCTGCATTACAACACCCTTCGAACACACATATTGTACTGTTCTTTACTTGGGGATTTGAACGAATGTTGCATCACAACACCTCTCGAACACACAGATAGTACTGTTCTCTACTTGGGGAATTTACTGAATGTTGCATCACAACACATCGCGAACACACAGATTGTACTGTTCTCTACTTGGGGAATTGACTGAATGTTGCATCACAAGACCTCTCGAACACACAGATTGTACTGTTCTCTATTTCGGGAATTGACTGAATGTTGCATCACAACACCCCTCGAACATACAGATTGTACCGTACTCTACTTGGGGAATTGACTGAATGCTGCATCACAGCCCCCCTCGAACACACAGATTGTACTGTTTTCTACTTGGGAAATTGACTGAATGCTGCATCACAACACCCCTCGAACACACAGATTGTACCGTATTATACTTGGGGAATTGACTGAATACTGCATCACAACATCCTTCGAACACACAGATTGTACTGTACTCTACTTGGGGAATTGGCTGAAATATGCTGCATCCTCCGTTAATTACGTTCACTCAGCACAAGCTGCCCGACGTTGGTAATTACTTCAGAAGGCAGCTTAAGGCAACTTAGGCGCAGGACTGTATCGGACTTGAAATCAACAAAGAGGCTGTCATTTCAGCATGTCGATAAGCAATCAATGCTAGGCAAGACAGCTTAATGGACGTTTTCAAAAGTAGGTTCAACTGTCAGGAAACAGAGACATTTTTTCTGAGGCAACTGGTCTGAGAGAACTGTATTCTTATCAAGTACACATTCCCATGTGTCAGGATTCACCTTGTAGCTGACAATTTCGTTCACATTAAAAGATCCATTGTGGAGAAGCTAATCTCTGATCCACACATCCTGTAATGTTAAGTCAATTATTTTATAGCTAAACCCATGGTTATATATTATCGAAACTGGGGTAAGTATAGAAACCGATTAAATATTAGTAAGGGAAAACACATCCGCAATAAGTATCCTTTTAACGTTAATTAGTTCATATAGCTAGCCATTTCGCCTGTTTTACTTATCTGAACTTCCGTTATTGGTTACTTTGTTTCTTTGTGCACATTTCACCGGACTCTAAACCAGCATGGTAACACGAGAGGGGTCCGTTTATGACGTCATAGGTAACGTCATATGAGTGTACCGAATGTAGGCGCCCGTCCAAGACCACTGCTGGTGTCAATGACCAGGCTGACGCTATACCAGCAGGGAACATGGTGTTCCTAATGGGAACTAATGGGGTATGCCTTCAGAGAAACACACATCAGTTGGAAGTCATGACTACAGATTGCACTGGAGGCGTTTGTAAGAATGTTGAGGTCTTTCGACACCAAGACCATGAAAACATTAGACATTTACACTTTATACGTTTGCAAAGCGATAAATGACAATAAATAAATAATCAATGACATATGTTTGTTTGTTGCTGATTAACTCCAAACTCACAAACATTCTGTACAGAATCGAACCTTGACCAAACAATCCAGTGACTGACATCTTGAGCACCGATCCACTCCGTCGGGGCACGATGACACGCCTTCAAGTGCCTGACCACCCGATCCATGTGGCTGCCTATTACGACAAGCAGAGGTTGCTGGGACCAAGTCTAACCCAGGATGTCAACTTGGGACACATTTTATTAACATTGGTAAACTGTTCAATAGCCATGTGTGTCATCTCAGACAAACAGCTTTATTACGACGCCATGACCATCGCCTCTGGGACAGAGTTACAGTCCGTTTGTTTTCTAAAATTCTAATAAAGCTGCTGTTGACATCCCGGGACATGATGGGTGTCTGGGAACGACATGGATCGTTGCTCACTCAACAACACCCTTCCTCGTCAATTGTTATAAGATTATACTCTGCCAACACGGACTATGTTCCCTGAGTGATATAATTGCAAATGTGCAATAAGTCCTCACTCACCAACTCCATTCCTTTCAATAAACATAGGTATCTCATTCAATCTTTTCAACGTAAATATTTTTTACATCTGTTTTACATACTTTAGAAGATTTAAGATTCAGTCAATATTACTGCACTGTCAGAGAATGTTATCTAAAGTCACACAAAAAGCACCATTATTCCGACGCCATCGGGCTAGAGGACATACATTGTAACTGCACGATCTTCAGGACTACTGGGACCTATCCCTCCCCGGGACCCCTGCAGGGTGTCAATGGTGTTACATGGCATCAGGTGGCATTAAGGACAAGGATGCCCTGTTTAAGGTGACATGTAAGCGAAACAGCGTTCATTACCCAAGCATTCTACTGTTGGGAGATACCATGACATGAACATTTGCAAGAAAACTACATGCTATAGATTCCTTACTTGCAATTGTCAGGAATGCTGCCCCCCATGTTATGCTCCATATCCAGCCCAGCAGGAACAAAAACGTCGTGAGAAACTGCAGCAGAGCGACGCCGGCGTTTACCCACACCACGTTACGTCGACTGGCGCCTTTGGGTCGTACTTCGGAGCAGCATAACACACTGACACCAGAAATAAACGTCCCTGCAACACAAAGCAGAAAAATAATGTCAATAATATAATAATAGCAATAATAATAAGCAGAAGAAGAAGAAGAAGAAGAAGAAGAAGAAATTCAGGGTATTGACACCCTCACATGAAGACTCACGTCAGACAATAGATCACACCACCCCCGCTCTTCCCTCAATCGCTTGTATGTACCAATCATTATGGGAGGACGTGGTTTCATTAACGCTAGGGCTCTTCGTGATAGAATTGTTTTGTGCACTTTTGCACACATTTATTTGTCTGATGATCCTCTTGTGAAACATGTCAAGACTCATGATGAAAACAAGGCATTCCACAGTTTTCTAAAACGAGCCAAGGATGTGGGACATAATCTCAATGTCGGTGTTGATGTTGTTGAAGGTTCTGTACTGCTGGACGGTACAAAAATGAGTGTCAACCAAATGAAGTGCCATATCAAGTCGGCCCAGACTCATTATTTAAAGGAGAGGCTATCTGAACGACCACTGCATCGAGTTTATGAGCAGTGTGTTGAGAAGATGAGCAATCCTGCAGAGTCCTTTGCTTGGATGAAGTCGTCTGGCCTGAAAAGTGAAACAGAAGGCTTTCTGTTTGCTGTTCAGTCACTTCCCACTCGAAACCGTCAATGTGTGATTTTGCATCAAAATGTAAATATGAAATGTAGATTATGGAATGAATTTAATGAGACACAATGTCTAACACATTGTCAGTGGATACCCAGCTTTGGCACAAACACAGTATTGTATTACGACCCAGAATATGTAGAATTGGCCCATTTACACCTTCAGACGTATCCAGGGCAACAAACCTGATCTCGTCCTTTTTGATAAATCCTATGAAATCATTTATATGATTGAATTTTCTGTCCCCTTTGACACTAATGTAATTGACAACATTGAGGAAAAACATGGCAAATATGCGGACCTCGCTTTCGGAATATCACGCTTGCATCCCAAGTACCAAGTTGTCCGACTCCCCATTGTTCTTGGTGCCTTAGTTTTGGTACCTCCCAATCTGTTAACTGACATTCGGAGAGTACCCGGGTTTGTTGCCAGGAATACAGCCCTTCTGACAATCTGGGTAATGCAGAAGGCTGCAGAGTTGGAGAGTCTTCACATTCTCCGAAAAGTTCTGGGTGGGTTTGACTAGGCAGCACTTCCTGGGAGAAGTCCCATTCGCTGTCTGGGCTGCGTTTAGAGGGTGCAAGGGCCCTGAGCTGATGATGAGCCTAACCAGCCTGACTGCCAGGATCACCCAAACCCTCTTTGCTGCATTTTATATTTTAATCTACAATTGTATTGTTGACAGTGAGTGGGTGAACGAATGGGTTTAACGCCGCGGTGAATAGATTTTCAGAATTATCAACGTCAGTGTTTTGCTGGACCCACATAGGAATTCAGACTCCTAATCGTTATTGAGACGATTTTCACCTTGAAGCCAGACATATTCGAAATAGTAATTTCTGAAATAAATCTGTTGATTATATCATTTCCTATATCAATTAATATAGCATATAAAGATGGAAAGTTGTAAATAAAGGCATATCTTCTACATAGCCAAGCAAATTCGATAATCTCCGCTCGTTCTCCCGCGGCCGACGTTATACAGAAACTATTGACGAATTCTATTAATTTTCCAAACTACCCATGTTTCCAATCAATAATCAATCAATTCTGTTTTGAAACCGATTACGATGGATATTACGCAATGCCATGACACGGCCGAGCTCAACCTGACATTGACAGTTTAGCTTTACACAAACCATCTTTAAGTCATTCAAGTACATTCGCAGTCGGGAATTGCCATGCATATAGATACGGGTATATCACATATACATGTAAATAAGCAAACTAATTCCGCAGGGGCGGCGTGTTACAGCGTAGGCAGCGGAGTGATCTGCATAGCAACAATAAACATCCTTTGTTAACGGCTGTCGGTCACGAATATCGATGATTGATAGCAATGTGCATTAAGTGAACAGGTACTATGACCAATACCTTATGCCTACTCGGGTGTGTGTGTGTGTGTGTGTGTGTGGGGGGGGGGGGGGGGGGGGGTATATTAGCTACATTGTGCTTATAAGTGGTCTCTGCAGGCCTGGGCATGTGCTTTATAAGAAACTCTTTGAACTCAACAGTCACCCGTAAATGTCTATTGCTGTGAAACACGCGACAATTAAATCAATATCAGCACGATGTCTATTTCAATCTTCTGCTTCTGTTTCAAGATATGTTTGTGGGTATGTATTATTGGAGGTTATTCAAATTGAAAGTAAGTTTTCAATGTTGTAATTAAAAGAAGGACCCTCTGTTCTTTCATTGTCCCGTACATTTCAGTATTGAACTGAACTCTTATCATCTGACACGACGTAACCGATCAATTACTGAAGTCAATACATACTGAAGTCGGCAGATAGGCGACCACGTAATGGCGTACTGGCATCATTCCAACATACTGACATCATATACCTGCATATGGACACATACACGAGCAGACGGCACACATACCAGCATATACTGACATCATATACCTGCATATGGACACATACACGAGCAGACGGCACACATACCAGCATATACTGACATCATATACCTGCATATGGACACATACACGAGCAGACGGCACACATACCAGCATATACTGACATCATATACCTGCATATGGACACATACACGAGCAGATGGCACATATACCAGCATATACTGACATCATATACCTGCATATGGACACATACACGAGCAGACGGCACACATACCAGCATATACTGACATCATATACCTGCATATGGACACATACACGAGCAGACGGCACATATACCAGCATATACTGACATCATATACCTGCACATGGACACATGTACGGGCTAACTGACACATATACCAGCTTACAGCATCCTTACACATACAAGCATACGGACACATATACGTTCCCTACCCCGCCCGTCTCTCTCTCTCTCTCTCTCCCTCTCTCTCTCTCTCTCTCTCTCTCTCTCTCCCTCTCTCTCTCTCTCTCCCTCTCTCTCTCTCTCTCTCTCTCTCTCTCTCTATCTCTCTCTCTCTCTCCCTCTCTTCTCTCTCTCGTTAGCTTCATCAAGCCAATGGGAGGAGTATGTCAGACCTCGGTAAGTATCAATTTAGTAAATCATGTGAACATGATCATCGTGCCGCAGCGATGCAGAGGGTAGATGAGATACATATTCTGCAGTTTATTAACATATATTCATTCTTGACAGAATTTGAGGAGTACTCTTATAGAACCTTCAAGTCAGAGGATAGTATGATATTTTGAAAGGTGCCTTAAAGATGTTAATATTCAACGCTCACAGAACGAAGCAACTGAAACACAATGCGACGATTATGTACTAGATCGTACGACATGTTGCAGGCCCATAGGCAGAGACAAAGAACTATTGTCCATTTCATAATAGAATCGATATTTACCTTTCCCTTAAGTTCAGATCAATATAGGTATAGACTCACGCCTGGGACTACAAACAATGTCTGTTGCTGTCTTATTCCCGTTTTGGTTAATAATGCGTGTCTGCGCGGGACCTAGGGACGTAGCGGGCCTGTTCCTAGTCATGGTATTTACCAGCTTCGTTGTAACCTGACAACTGAGGTAAACAGTAGCACCCAGGCTTGTCCTGTTTGGAGTTTGTGACGTAATGTTTATTGAGCAATGATGCAAAGGTTAATTTGAACACAGAAGGTAGGTGTCGTCTTCAGTACACTTCACGGAAACAACCGAAGATGTTGTGATGATAGACTTGTTGATGAAATCGTTGATGGGTTTCTATTTTCTTCCAACACTTTGATGGAACAGGAAGGGTTTTTGGTTAAAAGGCTTTGTTCTGGAAAGGATGAATAAAAATCAGAGTGAAATATGATCTTCGATGATTTTATTTCATGGAACATCGATTTATTTTAAATATCTCTTTTACCAACTTTGTGAGTTTGGTCCGAGTATTAATATCATTATAATGTCCGCCAACTATTCACTGTTGGTATAAATATGACGCAGGCTATCGTGTCCATGCCTCGCCAACTCTCTTGCCTATACCATGCCTACTCTCTTGTCTGTACCATGCCAACTCTCTTGTCTATACCACACCAACTCTCTTGCATATGCCACGTCAACTCTCTTGACTATATCACGCCAACTCTCTTGCCTATACCGCGCCAACTCTCTTGTCTATACCTCGCCACCCCTGTAGCTTATACCTTACCAACTCTCTTCGTATACCTCGCCAACACTCTTGCCTATATCACGCCAACTCTCTTGCCTATACCGCGCCAACTCTCTTGCATATGCCACGTCAACTCTCTTGCCTATATCACGCCAACTCTCTTGCCTATACCGCGCCAACTCTCTTGTCTATACATCGCCACCCCTGTAGCTTATACCTTACCAACTCTCTTCATATACCTCGCCAACACTCTTGCCTATATCACGTCAACTCTCTTGCCTATACCGCGCCAACTCTCTTGCCTATATCATGCCAATAATCTTGCCTATACCACGCCTCCTCTCTTGCATATACCATGCCAAATCTTTTGCATATACCTCGCCAACACTCTTGCCTATACCATGCCAACTATCTTGTATATCCCATACCAACTCTCTTGCCTATACCACGCCAACTCTCTTGCCTATACCATGCGAAGTCTCTTGCATATACCTCGCCAACACTCTTGCATATACCACACCAACTCTCTGCCTATACCATGCCAATAATATTGCATATACCAAGCCTCCACTCTTGCATATACCATGCCAAATCCTTTGCATATACCTCGCCAACGCTCTTGCCTATACCATGCCAACTATCTTGTATATACCATGCCAACTCTCTTGCCTATACCACGCCAACACTCTTGCTTATACCACGCCAACTCTCTGGTTTATACCTCGCCAACTCTCTTGTCGATATCATGCCAACTCTCTGGTATATACCACGCCAAATCTCTTGTATTTACCATGCCAACTCTTTTGCCTAT